CAGGCTCTTGCTTGACACGAGTCATGGGATGGCCACAGCCGTAGTCCAGCTGATCCACGGGCTCACACATCTCGCGTTTGATGGGTGGGCACATCCACATGGGGTGACTGTCCGATGGATAATACTGCGGATGGAGTGGTGAGGCATCCATTTTCATGACTGGTTGTGCATTCATTTTAATGCCTATACTATGGCTATAATCACTGTAACGATGTCTATGGCTCACAACGAGTCGATTCAATGGCAATCAAGTGATGTCTGACAACAAGTGGTTCGCAAACACTACTCTATATATGCGAATACAGTGGACAGGTATGCCAGCTATAGGTGTGCTCTCATTACACAACACAACAACACTAACCAACACTCTATGCAAACACCACTCAATACCCATACACTGACAACACACACATCACTGCACGACAACCAATCACCGCCTCGAGACTCCGCCTCCCGATGCCAACCAATTACGTCACCTATTGGTCGGACACGTCAGTCAACACACCGTTCACTACACGGCAGGTGTTTAGGAGTCCTAAGCCTCCTATGACTGGCAATGGATTGGCTATAAATGCTAATCATATGAATGCCATAAATCCAATTGTCTTATCATAAGAGATATTCATATTAATTCAGTTATGGTATCAGATATGATAACATTCAGACATTCAGTCATTTATGGACAGAACCCAAGTCTACGTGACTTTTAAATGTCAATACATTTTGCGTTGAGTGAAGCAAACATTTAGCCATTTGTTTGCAGTTTTAGTTAATTTCGTTTACAAACAGTATTTGACTTTTAATTGAATACACAATCAAATGATAAAACACTGATTTGTTTGCCAATACATTGCATAAGAGGTAACATAGAAATGAAATAACAGTAAAGTAAACATTGGTTGCTAGATAATGAACTGGATGAATATTAATTGCACAATTATTACAGGGGTTGGTAACTAGGTTTGCATAGTGTGGACAGTCGTGTGGACAGTCGTGTGGACAGTCGTGTGGTTGCAATGGTTGGCAACACATGTCCCACCCGTTCCCTGAGATGTGAAGACGGGTTTCTCATATACTTCGCGAACCTTAGTGTCCACGACGTGGATGTCATATGGATTGACTACGAGGGCTATGAAGTGGTTTACAAGACTTTAAGACACAGACAAATGTTTAAATTGCAGACTTTTGTGAGCCATCCATGGATTTTCAGACATAGACTCACAAAACGTCGATTTCTTTTTCAAACCAAACCTCAAACCACTTGCCAAGACATCGTCAATAGTCTGACATTCATTGCACAAGAAATACCTGATAATGAGGTTCAAGTGATCTATATTTTCGATGTCTTTCAGTCGTTGAAAGAGAAATGCTTTCAATCGGTGTATAAATCAATTGGACTCCACGGTAGTGAAGAACTCAATGAATCCGATATTCCTAGAGCTCTGATCAAAGAGTACCACAAATATGTGAATCTCTTTTTGACTGTTTATGATTCGCGTGAATGTCGGGCACACATCCCATGAGCCCATCCATGACCACTAATATCACTGTTTCTATTCACTTGTTATACAATGCACTGAAATAAGAGTTTTATTAATTTATCTCATTTTATCGATTATACTAATCATGTAAACAATGTCCATATATTTGATACTCTAATATTTTCACTTAAATATTAAATCATTTATTAAAATCATAAGTTTATTACAAAACAAGATGTGATTCCCATTGAAATGAGGTTTAATTGAAACTAAATGTTAGTGAAGGCAACAAATGTCTTAAGTAATGGACATCTCATCCGAAACTGAAGTCTCTGTTGATGGTGTCGTTGGCGTAGTTGTTAGTCATCGAGAAGTTGTCGATGGGATGGATGAGTGAATTGTCTTCATTGGACTCAACCATACAATTGATGTGTTCGTCACAAGTCTTGATGTATTGAACGATGAAATCGTTATAAGTTTTGCGATCTTTCGGATCAAAAGACAATCAAATTAGTGCTCATTTTGGCGTCAAATGTGAGACCATTTATACCGAATTTGTCACTCATTTCTTGTGGGAATTGCATGTAATCATAGCATTGAAACTGATTCCTACTTAAGACAATACCATAGACTTCGGTCAGACAGTGGTTAGTGAGAGGTGTCATCAGCTGTTGAGACAAAACACATCAATGAATGGCATTCAGAGGTAAACCATTGGATGCGTTGACTGACCGGTTGGGCGAACAGAATCTGAACGAACTGGTCATCAGTGGTCTTAATGGTGGCTCTCTTGCCATCCGGTTCTACCTGTAAGACAATGTCATCAATCAATTGGTCCATCAATACCATCAAGTGATCCATACTTTGGTGACATCGCCCACAAGAGTGGCCGCCTTCTGGATGTAGTTCTGCATCAAAGCGCCGGTAATCCGGGTTTTGGCGGAAGTGCTGTAAGCGTCCATCACTTGTCTTAATTGGTTCCGAGTCTTGGATTGCGAGACAATTGTCTGAAGTGACGGACAATTGAAGCAAACGTTTTGTGAAGCGATAAATGCGCCAAACGTTCAGTCATTCACTCATTACGTCTCATATCAACGACAATCACTTCAAGTGTTTCCCAAAGTCTATGGTTTCATAAATATTACCATTTATTCATTCAATCCATGTTTACTCTAAATTTTGTCTAATTTATTCAAATTAATTAATTAATTAGTATTTTATAATAAATTAATTAAATAAATAGTTTCAATTGTTTTTGTCGTTATTTATACTCTTATAAGTTGATTGCATTGAAAATTATGAGCAGTATTGCCACCTATTGTTCAGTTATGCTATTAATTAAAGTTTGAGAACTTTGAAAACTTTTTGTTAAGTTTTCTATTGAGAGCATAAAGTTAGTTAAACTGATTGATTAAAGTTATATTTGTATGATTTATAATACTATAACTGGCCATTTCATACAATTTAAGCATAATATTGCATTTCAGTTAGTTTTGGTTATACTAATTGATACTCAACTGTCGAGTTGTATTTCAAACTCATCTAATTATAGGTACACTATATCTGTCCAGATTGTCAACATTACAGACATACAGATAGTGGTTATAGACTGTCTAACTATGCTTAAGACATTTGAGTCCATCTACAGATCATAGTATGCCTCCAATCATTCACTTACATATCATTTCAATTACTAATCAAATAAATCTATACATACACTGCACGTATGAATGTCAATAATCGTTGATTGGTAATATGAACATAGGTATCATATTGTGTTTCATCCAGACAACTTAGCTAATTTTAATTGTATTCATAGTTTAATAGAAATGTGAATAACATATTAGTTTTGAGATGAATATTGTGTAACTGTATTGATATGACAATAGGTGTCAAATGCATTGTTTTCATATGAATTGAACTTTCGTTAAGCTATAGAGGAAATGGAGTTTATATTGGGTTTGGTGTTACGTTCAGTACTCGTACACAATACATGGTATTGTCGGACCAAATGTATTGTAAAATGAGACCAAAGCTATGCGGAGAAGTGTTGAGAAAACATTTGACACTTTTGATGATTTATATGCAACTTATATTTGGTTACAAATGCATGCAATGAATGGCATAAAAGTGTTTTGAAAGCTCTTAGACTGGAGTGCAATGACTGACAGACAGCACTACACAACACAAACACTGTATTACTGTATATAATAATTGCATGAATTGTTGCTTACGTTTAGCTCTCATTAGTTTACAAACACTTCAATCACTTGTTGTGTGCCTTAACTCGCATTCAATTCATTAGCAAATCATTCATTAATTCATTGTATTTATCACACAATCTATTCATTCAATTCATTACAGCTATAATTGACAGCTATTTTGGGCACAAATCATGTGATTGTCATTTGGTGTCAATTCATAACCGATTGTGACATTCATTTTGAGCCCACTTTACGGCTAACTATGAATTAATTGAGCGATCATTGGATCGACCATTGGATCAAATCGTGAGCCAATTGTCTCGATGAGTGTGTCAGTGATGGCCACCGGCTATACCTGTATCAGACATTTCCTGTGTTTCGTGAACCTCTTGTTTTGGGTTTGTAGTGACCATTGAATTACCATTTCATGTACTCATCATATCTTGTCTCATCATGTCTTGTGGTGCAGGTGTTGGGCAGTTGTGTGTTAGGAGTGGGCGTATGGCTCACCATATCGTACGAGACATACGCGCGGATCCTTCCCTCGTATCACATGCTGTCGGCCGACAACTTAGCCATCGCTGTCGGATGCCTCACATTCTTCGTGGCCTTCTGTGGCTGTTGTGGCGCTTGGTTTCAGAACAAGTGTCTTCTCACCACTTATTTGGTCTCAATTGTCATACTTATGGTTCTGGAGATCACTGTCGGAACGCTTAGCTTCGCCTTCAGAAGACAATTGACAAACACTTTAAGAGAGGAACTCTTGGACGGCATTCGCGACCGATATGTGTTGGACGACTCGAATGGCATCCGCGGCACTTGGGATCAGATTCAGATGAACTTCGACTGCTGCGGTGTCAACAACTACACGGACTGGCACTCCATCAGCGCCTGGCCTGACCACCAATGGGTCCCCAACTCCTGTTGCATTCCAGCCCTTCCTTCCAATGAAACCCTTTATGAGATCGAAGAGAGCATTGAAGAGGAGTGCGGACGACATCCGGAGACTGAGTCGAGTCGCTACCGACGCCACGGATGTTATTACAAGATCCGCCACTTTGTGCTCAATAACCTGCATGTGGTGGGCATCACATCCATTGTCGTGGCATTCATCCAGTTCTTCGCGATCGTCGGCGCGCTTCTCATCGTGTGTACCATGGATTACAAGAAGCGGAACCGTTCGGTGTTCAGTCACAACAGTAGACCCACTTATAATCGAGTGCCCACTCTATGATCACTTCCAGTGCCCACTCTATGATCACTTCCAGTGCCCACTCTATGATCACTTCCATTCATTGATTCCAATGATATCTCTAATTTATACTTAAGTTTTCTAACATTTTTCGGCTAATTATTGTGTAGTGAATCTCTGGACAGCTTTTTCGAGTACAAAATACTTACAAAATGAAACTTAATCTATAAGTGCCTTAAAATACATATTTTACTATTTGTTCGGTACTTATAACCGGTGGAAGGCTTTGAAAATTGTATTTATATTATATAAATAAATAGTTATTTTATTATATATTTGCGTTTGTTTTCATCAAATACTTCTTTAATACTTTAAATATATCAATAAATAGATAAATAAACAAAAAACAAAAGTTAACTAAATAACTACTGCTATTTGATT